TTTATAGCTATGTGGCTTGCGTTTTAAGAGAGAAGGATCAACCCTTGGAGGTTTTACATTCTAATATGAATGTATGAGAACATTTGTTTTGGTTTTTGTTTTGTTGTGTTTTTGAGACGAGGTCTCTGTTGCCCAGGCAGGAGTACAGTGGCAAGATCACGGTTCACTGCAGCGTTGACCTCCCGAGGCTCAGGTCTTCCTCCCACCTCAGTCCCCCGAGTAGCTTGGTATAGGTGAGTGCTACCACACGCTGGCAAATATTTGTATTTTTTGTAGAGACAGGATTTCACCATGTGTTGCCTAGGCTGGGCTCAAGCAATCCACCTTCCTCAGCGTCCCAGAGTGCTAGGATGAGCCACCATGCCCAGCCAGAAAATTTTAAAAATAGATATTTGTAGAGTTATACATCCAGGAGGATTTTTAGAAATGGGATTTCTAAGTCAAAGGGTAAATGCATATATAATTTAACTATGTGCTGCCAAATTCTCTAGGTGTTTTTTTTTTTTTTTTTTTTAAATGAAGTTAAAAATAATTCCAAAGGAAGCTAGGCATAGTGGCTCACACGTGTAATCCCAGCCGTTGGGGAGGCCAAGGCAGGAGAATCACTTGTGTCCAACGTGAGCAAGATAGCAAGACCCCATCTCTGCAGAAAACTAAAGAATTCGCTGGACATGGTGGCACATGCTTCTTGTCCTAGCTACTTGGGAGGCTGAGGTAGGATTGCTTGAGCCCTGCAGGTCAGGGCTGCAGTGAGCCAAGATTGTGCTACTGCACTTCAGTCTGAGCAACAGAACAGGGCCCTGTCCCTTACCCCAACCCAAAAACAAGCCTGAGAATAAGAGGAGATAATTCCTACTTAGGTAACTGACCAAAAAAAGGCTTATATCCAAAATATATTAAGAACTCTCTTACACATTAATTCCAAAAATTCAAACAATCCAATAGAAAAATCAGTAAAGAGGCTTGAGCAGGCTCTTCACAAAACTGTGCTATGGATAATAAACATGAAAAATTGAAGTTTTTATCCTCATTAATTATCAGGCAAATGGAAATTAAATCTGCCACTGCACATGCATCAGAATGGCTAAATCCAAAAAGAGTTACAATACCAAATGTTGAAGAGAATTTAAAGAAACTAGAGTTTGCATATACTTTTAGTGTGTAAAGTAGAAATATGTTTTGAAAAACGATTTGGCATTGCGTTCCAAATTTGAACTTAAGGATATACCCCTAAGTACAACCATATAACATCATCATTTGAAGTAGCTCAGAATTAAATAGCTCTAATGTCTGTCTACAAGAATACATGAATAAACCAAGCTATAATGGTTAAGTATCAGAAATATTTGGGACCAGAAGTGATTTGGATTTCAGATTTCTTCAGATTTTGCAATATTTGCATTATACTTCAGAAATTTAAAATGTTCCAGTGAGCATTTCCTTTGAGTGTCATGTCTATGCTCAAAAAGGTTTTTTTGGAGCATTTTGGATTTCAGATTTTCAGATTAGAGATACTCAACCTGTTTTATGGAGTGCTTTTAGGTAAAAGGAGAAGAACTACAGCTATGTGCAACAGTATGGATGACTCTCATAAACATAATGTTGAATCAAAAAAGCTAGACATAAACGAATAGATGATTTCATTATAAAGTTTAAAAACAGACAAAATTAATCTATACTGTTAGAAGTGAGAATAGTGCTACCATTTGAGAAGAGGGGCAATGATTTAGATGTGTCGTGTGCATCAAGGTGTAGAAATTAATGATGCATTATACCTTTGTAATTCTACACTTTTGTGAATATATATTTCAATTAAGTGTTTAAAAAATTCAGGTGTCATTTCCAAGTGTTTGAAACAGATTAGCAAAATGAATATAAAGAAAACATCATAACGCTAAAAGTAACATTTAATGTGAAAAAAAGTAAAACTGATCAGTAAACTCAAGTGATAGGTTTTTTAGAAGTATAAAATTGGCTGGTCATGGCCGGTCGTGGTGGCTCACACCTGTAATTCCAGCACTTTGGGAGGCCGAGGCAGGCAGATCACGAGGTCAGGAGATCAAGACCATCCTGGCTAACACAGTGAAACCCCGTCTCTACTAAAAATACAAAACAAATTAGCCAGGTGTGGTGGCGGGCGCCTGTAGTTCCAGCTACTCAGGAGGCTGAGGCAGGAAAATGGTGTGAACCTGGGAGGCGGAGCTTGCAGTGAGCTGAGATGGCACCACTGCACTCCAGCCTGGGCGACAGAACAAGACTCTGTCTCAAAAACAAACAAAAAATTGGTTGGTCATGTGGCTAGCACCTGTAATCCAGCACGTTGGGAGGTCAAGGCGGGAGGATCGCTTGAGCCCAGGAGTTCAAGATCAGTCTTCCCAACATTGTGAGGAAGCCTCTTCTCCATTCCAGCCCTACCACCACTCTCTACCAAAAAAATTTTTTTTTAATTGGCCAGGTGTGGTGGGGGCTTGTGCCTGAAGTCCTAGCTACTCAGAAAGCTGAGGCAGGAAGATTGCTTGAGCCCAGGAATTGAAGGCTGCTGTGAGCTTGATCCTACTATTACACTCCAGCCTTGGGGACAGAGTGAAGCTCCGTCTCTCCCATACCCCCAGAAAAGTATAAAATAGACAAACTTTTGCATAATGTGTGATTCAGCATTTCATCCACCCCATACATTTTCTTATTTCTTTTTCTTCTTTTTTGTTGAGACAAGGTCTGGCTCTATCGCCCAGACTGGTATGCAGTGGCATGATCTCGGCTCACTGCAACCTTTGCCTTCCAGGCTCAAGCCACCTTCCCACCTCCCAGGTAGCTGGTACTACAGACATGCACCACCACACCTGGCTAATTTTTGTGGTTTTTGTAGAGACGGGGTTTTACCATGTTGCCCAGGCTGGTCTCAAACTTGTGAGCTCAAGTGATCTGCCTACTTTGGCCTCCCAGAGTGCTGGGATTACAGGCATGAGCCACACCCCATACATTTTATACCCTCTGCTAGGACCTATGAATATTAAAAGAAAAACTTTAGATAAATGTAATAGTTAAGCATTAAAGGATTCGTGAATCAGGCAATACTCAAAACCAGAAGAGGTTCAGGGGCTCTGCTGTAGCAGCATGCCCATGGCCAACTGGGTTTTATAGACTGAATATGGAAGCAAAGTAAAGAAATTACTTAATTGGCTACAGCTAGCCATTAGCCTTAGCAGTATTCTGAGTTTCTTTTGTGAACCATTAGTATTACTCTATTGCTTTGGATAAAAAGTTGAGTGTCACTTTTTTAGGCAAGCCAGATGTCAGTTTTCAAGTGTCTTATGGTTATTTTCTTCTATTTTCTTGCCCAGAACCAGTTCTGAGTCTGTAAATACACATTTATATGTGCGTGTGGTAGGAGAGGTGGAGGATGATATTACTTATCCATTTGTCTACTTTTTTCCGTAGCACTTGTCACCAATTGACATAATACATATTTATGGCTGGGCACGGTGGCTCACGCTTATAATCCCAGCACTTGGGGAGGCCAAGGCGGGCAGATCACCTGAGGTCAGGAGTTCGAGACCAGCCTGACTAACATGGGGAAACCCTGTCTCTACTAAAAATAGAAAATTAGCTGGGCGTGGTGGCACATGCCTGTAATCCCAGCTACTTGGGAGGCTGAGGCAGGAGAATCGCTTGAACCCGGCAGGGCGGAGGTTGCAGTGAGCTAAGATTGCCCCACTGAACTCCAGCCTGGGCAACAAGAGCGAAACTCCATCTCAAAAAAAAACAGAAAAACTTGTTTATGTGTTTATTATCTGCTTAGCACTTTAGAATGTGAGATACCTAAGGTCTAGGCCTTTTTTTTGTATAGTTGACTATCCTAAGTGTCTAGTATATTACCTCACGAAGATAAGGTCCTTCATAAATATTTGCAGAGTGAATGAAAGCATAAGCCAGAGATAAGGACTTGAGGGGAAGCCACCTGGCCTACATGACTTTGCCAGCTGGAGGAGCTAAAGATGTCTAAATTCAATAAACCGTTTGTGTGGGAGTCCTCAAGACCACCACCCTCATGCTCAGTGATAGAAGTACTCACAGGACTCAGAAGCTATTAAACCTACAGTTATGGTTTATTACAATAAAAGGGTACAGATTAGAATCTGCAAAGGGAAAAGATGAATGGAATGAAGTCTGGAAAAAACCAATCTTCTCTCCCGTGTAGTCACATGGACAGTGCTTAAGTTGCTGACTAGGGAAGCTCACCTGAGCTTTGGTGTCCAGGATTTTTACCAAGGCTTAGTCCCGTAGGCATACAGCACCTGAATGACTTACTTCATACACTTATGCCCAGCCCGTCAACAGTTCAAACTCCTGCGTTATTGCCAGAAGCCTCAGGCATACAAAAACAAGCCTTCAGCATAAATCATATGGTTAGCATACACAATCTGGTCACGCTAATGTAGTTTGGCTCAGTAGCTCAGCCATACAAAAATATACACTTATCAGGCAAGATATTCCACAGGCTAACAGGTCATCTCTCACAAACTGAGCCAAGTGTCGGTCCTGAAAACAGATCTTTCTCAGGAGAGTGCAGGGTTTGGGCATCCCAGGCCTGTTGAGTTAACCTTTCCGCACATCATTTCATGACGATCTCGTGGTCACGTTGGAGAATAAGAAGAACCTCAGGAGTTTAGGTTTGTTAGTCAGTGTAACCTGCATTCTTATCCTGGCTCATACTTCCTGATTGGTGATGTTGGGTCAATTAGTGTCTGAGCTTATTAGGTTTCCTCAACTAATATGATAGTAACAAAAACTGCTTTGATAATTATATGAACTTATCCTACCACTGTTTCTGGCACATGGGTACCACCAGGTAAATGGCATTTGTTATTATTTATGTCCACGTGGCATAATACTGTAGTGGCATTCACATGAACAACTTCATCTTCTGCAGAGAGATGGCTAATGAATGGCGCTTGATGACAGATGAGTAATGCCTGTTGCTTAAAGATTGACGGTATGAGACAAGACTCCCATTACTACTTAATCAAGAGGAATTGAGATTGACCTATCCGTAAGTTCAGACAATGTCTCGAAGAGACTTTGGAAACAAGATATTCAGGTACATTTCACTGTTAGACTCACAGGATGCTGGCCATTGATCTTTCCCTTTGTGGTAAGTCCATGTTAATGGTCCTTCAAGACCCTGCTTTTTAACCAGGCTGTGAACAGCTTGTCTTGTGATTAGGGTTTAGGGTCTAAGTGGCCCTGCTTTTGAGATATCTAGAAGGGGCTAAAGTAGATATGAATATTCTGTGGTCTAAATCCTGGGATTTGGGAAGGAGGGGTAAGTACACAGGCTTTTGAGATACCTAGAAGGTGCTAAAGTAGATAAGAATATTCTGTGGTTTAAATCCTGGGATTTGGGGAGGAGGGGTAAGTATGCAGGCTTTTGTAGAAGAGGTCCAGCTTAATCACATGATGAGTTTCATTTTTGGCAAATAAGAAGGAAAATGTTAACTTCTCCGGACTTTTTATTCCTTATAAAATGGAATTGTTAAACTCTCTCTCCTGGTCATCAAAGCCTGAAGCATATTTTCTGGCTTCAGGTGAGACACGCTGTTCAGGCATTTTATTGTAATAATGTATGTGTGTCCGCTTAGTGTTAGTATGAGGTGGCTTCTTGGCTTGTGAATATGGAAGCTATCAGCAGCGTGGATTCTCAAGTTTTATTTCTTCTTCTCAAGATCATCTTTCTCAAGACTACTTCTGTCTTCATGAGGCAAAATTTGAAGAGAAAACGATGGTGGCTGGGTGGTTGACAAGTTACTCTCAGGTAAGTAGGAAATTGCTTTTTCTGTAGAAGCATATGCTTCTTATTACCATGTAGATGTGTTTTCTCCTAGTGGAACAGAGCTCCTACAAGCAAAGAGGGTCTGCTTAGGGACCACATCTCTCATCAAACTTCTTCGGACCACAGGCCTCTCACGTGGTTAACAGATTTCACAGGGAAATGATCCTACTATCCCAGTGTTTACTAATTCAGTCTGACTCTCATCCATGCTGATTATATGCTTTCATTTTGCTGTGATAGGGAGAGAATGCACTTGTGCTTCTCAGAATTTGTGCTGTCACTAGAGCATTTATTTGAGTGTCTGTGATGTACTCAGGATTGTACTAAAACCTGTCGATAGCGAAGCGATAAGAAGTCACAATCTAGTTGTGCTGAGATATATTCAGTTAGGTGAAAGAGGTGCTCTTCAAGCCATGTGACTAGATGAGATCACCAGTGGATATGTACAGACAGGAGAAGAAAGTGAGGACCGTCAAGTGACAGGGACCAAAGAGTCTTGTCAAGGCCTGCCAAGACAAGGTCCCTCATTGGCCAGTCAACATAGTGGAGAAGGTACTTGCTTGATGCCAGCATGTGTGTGATGGTTTAGGACTCAGTGACCTTTGAGGATGTGGCTGTGGACTTCACCCAGGAGGAGTGGACTTTGCTGGATCAAACTCAGAGAAACTTATACAGAGATGTGATGCTGGAGAACTACAAGAATCTAGTTGCAGTAGGTAAGGCTGGTACCATTCTTTTCATTTAGTTTTTTTCTGAAACAAATATGTCTTAAGTAACTATATTCTAGGCTCTCTGCTTGTTAGTGGGCTGCATTGGTAAACAGGCGAAACATTGTTTCCATCTCATAGACCTTACTGCCTAGTGGTTTTTCTGATGAAATTGAACATCTCTTAATTGTTCTGGCTTTGTTTTCTCCATGGATAAAAGACTTAGAGCTTCTTGAATATGTATAGGAGCTTGAGCCTGGGTTGCATGGGAAGAATTGCTAGTCCTTTTGGTGCACAGTGAATGAGAAAAGAGTATTTGCAGTTTAGGTTCACTTATAAGTTTTTGTCATGAACATTGTGCTGTTTAAGTTATATCTGAGAGGGTTCAGAATGCCCAAACAGCAAAATCTTAGCCCTTAATTCATGGAAGCATTTGTTATCCCTTGCACGTTCTTTCTTTTCTTTTTTTTTTTTTTTTGAGACAGAGTCTCGCTCTGTCGCCCAGGCTGGAGTGCAGTGGCATCTCAGCTCACCGCAAGCTCCGCCTCCCAGGTTCACGCCATTCTCCTGCCTCCGGAATAGCTGGGACTAAGGTGCCCGCCACCACGCTCAGCTAATTTTTTTGTGGGTTTTTTTGGTATTTTTAGTAGAGACAGGGTTTCACCATGTTACCCAGGATGGTCTTGATCTCCTGACCTCGTGATCCGCCCGCCTCGGCCTTCCAAAGTGCTGGGATTACAGGCTTGAGCCACTGCGCCTGGCCATCCCTTGCACATTCAAACATCATTCATCTTTCTCCGAGAGCAGGGTACTAGCTATGCAGACATGGTTTGACTTTTCAGGTGAAACAAGAAGAGTTAAAGACAGTGCAGAAAATTCTCCAAGATGAGAGAAAAGACAGATGTGATTATTTGTGAGAAACAGCCCTGATCAGAGGTGCAGTCTGTTTATAAATGTTAAGTAGGAAGGTTTTGAAAGTGTAGTTTTTTGGGGAGAATATCAAGGCCAGTTGGTTTCTGTGGTTCCTTGGGTACCTTAACTTCTCTTTCTCTTTCACTCTCCATCCGTCTTGGAAACTTTCTTTTGCCCTGACATTAAGATGTGTCTCATTTCTTCTTTAAATTTATGATTTGCATTTAGCTGTGTATCCATTTCCTTTCAACTTTGTTTCCCTGGCTGTACCTCTTTTTTGTTCACTATAAAGTCTCAAGGTTTACAGAACCATTTCTTTTTGTTGTTGTTGTTTTTTAGAGACGGAGTCTCACTCTGTCAGTTCACTGCAACCTCTGCCTCCGAGGTTCAAGCGATTCCCCTGACTCAGCCTCCTGAGTAGCTGGGACTACAGGTGCGTGCCACCTTGCCTGGCTAATTTTTTTTTTTTTTGTATTTTAGTAGAGACGTGGTTTCACCATGTTGGCCAGGATGGTCTCAATCTTCTGACCTCGTGATCCGCCTTTCTTGGCCTCCCAAAGTGCTGGGATTACAGGCGTGAGCCACCACGCCCAGCCTAGAGAACCATTTCTTAGTGAATCACCTACCAACTTGACCTCAGTACCTTACTGTTGCTAGACTCTTATTATATCCAAGTTTCTCAATTTCTGTTTCCCTTTCTTTAAACAAACAAACAAACAAACAAAAACTGTATTTCAAGCCAGTGTTTGAAACTACAATACACGCTAGTCGTGCATTTTTAATACCCTTTTTAAAATCATTATTTCTGTAAGAACTTAAAATTTTTTTTTTCGTCTTATTTCAGATTGGGAGAGTCATATTAATACCAAATGGTCAGCACCTCAGCAGAATTTTTTGCAGAGGAAAACATCCAGTGTGGTGGAAATGGTAAGATTCAGAAGGTATAATTTATTGCCTTCCATGTTAGAGGAAGATTGGAAATTCCGTAAAATGGAAAAGCTGCACAGTAACCTTGAGACATTTGAGACTAGTGTTTTTCACCCAAAAATAATCTGTCTCTTGGAGACACTGTGGATCATGAGTTTGACAAACACTCTAAACATCCCTCAAAATATATTTGCTTACATATTTCCTTCAACTAAACATTCCCATATAGGGATCTCAGATGTTTTTGATAAATAATTCACTCTTGGGCCACTATCAGCTAAGCTCTATTTAGAAGCCCTGTGAAAGTAAAGAATATAACAGAACTTCCTGCAGTCACTTTGTTTCACTTGAAAGCACTCAGATCTGAACCATGCATTGCAATGAAAATGGCAGGAACAAACAATTTCAATTATACTAACTAATTTTCCATGCATAACAGAATTCAGAGTAAAAGGGAGAATCTGAATGAAATAATTTTGGAAAACTTGTATGAATCATCATTAATTTTCACCAACAGGAGAGAAACCATTTTGGAGAGGAACTGTTTGACTTTAACCAATGTGAAAAAGCCTTGTGTGAACACTCATGCCTTAAGACTCACAGGAGAACCTACTTTAGAAAGAAAACCTGTGAGCGTAATCAGTGTGAAAAAGCCTTCACAAAACCCTCTACTTTACACAAGAAAACTGATATTGGAGAGGAACTTCCTAACTGTAATCAATGTGAAACAGCCTTCAGCCAACATCTACGTCTTGTTTGCAAGAAAACTAGCCAAAATCTACATCTTGTTTGCAAGAAAACTCACACTCAAGAGAAACCATACAAATGCAGTGACTGTGAAAAAGGCTTACCTTCCTCCTCACACCTCAGAAAATGTGTAAGAATTTATGGTGGAGAGAGACCATATACTCATGAGGAGTATGTCAAAACCTTTTCTGATTCTACAGGCCTTTTTGTACATACGCAAACTCAAGATGGAGAAAAATTCTATGAATGTAAAGCATGTGGGAAAGCCTTCACTCAGTCTTCATATCTTACTCAACATTTAAGAACTCATAGTAGAGTGTTACCTATAGAACATAAGAAATTTGGCAAAGCCTTTGCTTATTCCCCAGAACTTGCTAAACATATGAGACTTAGAACTAGAGGGAAACACTATGTTTGTAATGAATGTGGCAAAGAGTTTACTTGTTTCTCAAAACTCAACATTCACATAAGGGTTCACACTGGAGAAAAACCATATGAGTGCAACAAATGTGGGAAGGCCTTCACTGATTCTTCAGGTCTTATAAAACACAGGCGAACTCACACTGGAGAAAAGCCTTATGAATGTAAGGAATGTGGGAAAGCTTTCGCTAACTCTTCACATCTTACTGTACATATGAGAACTCACACTGGTGAGAAGCCTTATCAATGTAAGGAATGTGGAAAAGCCTTTATTAATTCCTCTTGCTTTAAAAGTCACATGCAGACTCACCCTGGTGTAAAACCCTATGACTGTCAACATTGTGGGAAAGCCTTTATTCGATCTTCATTTCTTATTCGACATTTAAGAAGTCACAGTGCGGAAAGGCCTTTTGAATGTGAGGAATGTGGGAAAGCCTTTAGATACTCCTCGCACCTTAGTCAACATAAAAGAACACACACAGGGGAGAAGCCATATAAATGTCAAAAGTGTGGGCGAGCCTTCGCTATCTCATCAGGCCTTACAGTACACATGAGAACTCACACTGGCGAACGGCCCTTTGAATGTCAGGAATGTGGGAAAGCCTTTACTCGGTCCACGTATCTTATTCGACATCTAAGAAGTCACGGTGTGAAAAAACCATATAAGGAATGTGGGCAGACCTTTAGTAATTCCTCATGCCTTACTGAATGTGTGTGAATTGGGGCTGATATTTGGAAAGAATGTGGTAAAGCCACTACTTCCTCACACTTACTGAACATGTACTCATAGTGGCAGTGTACACAGTCATAAGGAATGTGGGAAGCCTTCCTTGGTGTCTCAGATCTCAGCAATTCCAATAGAAGAGAAGACATATGAATGTAAGGAATGCGGGAAAGTCTTGGCTCCTTCCACAGGCCGTACTTACTATTCATGTGTCTGTGCATCCTAGGAAACAAACTGAATGTAGAAAACCATCAGTTGATGCTTACATCTTACTGAGTCTGTTTGAACTCATGCTGGAGAGAAATGCTGTGAATGTGAGGAAGGTGGAAAAGCTTTCATTATTTTCCTCAGGCCTTATTGAGCTTGTGAGCACATTGGATGTAAATGCACATCCTCTGGATGTAAGGAATGTGTTGAAACCTTTTGCTCTGCCTTATGCCTTAATATTAACTGTGATCTCACAAGTGTGAAAAATCTTGAATGTAAGATGTGTGGAGATTCTTCTTTGTTTTTAGCTTCCACTTTGGGAACATGTCAGATCACACATTGGGAAGTCCCATGAGTGAAAGAGATGTTGGAAAGCCCTTGAACTTGGTCATTAGGAAACATCCACACTGAAGAGGAACTAAACTGTATGGAAGGTCAAAAAAGCTGTATTAATTTAGATGCAAAAAGTCATACTAGAGGAATACCATATCAGAATGCTTTTGGTAAATATACATGTTTTAAAGAGGTATATATTATTAATAAAAATATCTAGCTGATCTGAAGATCCTGAGTTATCTCGATTGTTCACGGTTACAGATGGAAGTTTTAATTATTTAGGAGTTCCACTCTTTCCCCCATTTGTCAGTACTACACTTCACTAGTCTTTAAAACAATTTTAGGCTGGGCGCAGTGGCTCATGCCTAAAATCCCAGCATTTTGAAAGGCCAAAGCGAGTGGATCATTTGAGGTCAGGAGTTCGAGACCAGCCTGGCCAAGATGGTGACTCCCCATCTCTATTAAAAATACAAAAATTAGACAGGCATGGTGGTACGTGCCTGTAATCCCACCTACTTGAGAGGTTGAGGCAGGAGAATTGCTTGAACCTGGGAGGCAGAAGTTGCAGTGAGCTGAGATCACGCCACTGCACTCCAGCCTGGGCGATGTGGTGAGACTCTGTCTCAAAAAAAGAAAGGAAAAAAAAAATGAAAATATCCTCAAAGGGTTTTTTAATGAAAAACTTAGTTATAAGAATAAGGAATTGAGGAACATTTAGGGGGTATAAGTTTTTACTTACTGCATACGAGAAAATTGGTCCTGGCCAGGCATGGTGGCTCACACCTTAATTCCAGCAATTTGGGAGGCCAAGGCAGAAGGATCACTTGAGCCCAGGAGTTCAGGACCAGCCTGGGCAATATAGTGAAACCTCATCTTGACAAAGAACAAATAAGATTAACTGGGTGTAGTGGTTTGTACCTGTAGTCGCAGCTATTTAGGAGTCTGGGAGGAGAGGATTGGTTGAGGTCAGGGAGGCAGAAGTTGCAGTGAGCCCACATCATGCCACTACACTCTAGCCTGGTCTACACGATGAGACTGTGTCTAAAAAAAAAGAAAAGAAAATTGGCGCCAGCAAAGAAAACCAAATAAAGTATTTAAGTTTGCCTTTCTGTGTGTGTTTAAAGACTAATGATGTTGAACATAGCTTTCATATGCTTATGAGTCTTTGGTGAAGTGTACATTTAATGATCTTTTTTCACTGTTGCCGAGAGTCTTTGGTTTGAATTATTGAGGCAGGTTCTTTCAATACGTTTATTGAGGTATAATTGCCATGTAATAAACTGCACATGTTTTTAGCATACACTTTAAGTTTGGACACATACACGTATGTGTACATACACACCAAGATAATGAGCATACCTATCAGACCAGATGGTTTCCTCATGCCCTTTTATAATTTTTTCTCCTCACCCTTCCCTGTCTGTCATTCTCCTGATCCACTGATTTGCTTTCTCTTAGATGACTTTATATTATGTACAGTTTTCATATAAATGGAATCATATAGTCTGGCATCTTTCAGGATAATTTCTAGATCCATTTATGTGGTAGAGTCCATTTCACTGCTGAATAGTATTCCATTGTAAGGCATGCCACAAGCTATTTATCCATGTGTTATTTCTACCTTTTGGCTATTTCAATTAAAACTGCCTTGAACACCCATATGCAGATTATTCTTTTAACATATGCTTCTATTTCTTTAAATAATTAAGAGTGTAATGATCAGATCATATGTTAGTGTATGTTTAATTTTTTAAGAGACTGCTAAACCTTTCTCAAGTGGTTGTGCTATTTGACATTTCCATGAGCAGTGTATAAGAGCTGCGATTCCTCTGCATCCTTGCCAATCATTGGTATGGTCAGTCTTTTTTATTTTGACCATTTTAATAGGTGTGCAGTAGTATCATGGTTTTAATTTGTATTTCCCCAGTGACTAATGATGTTTTACATGGTTTTACATGCTTACTGGCCCTCTTTAAGCCTTTGGGGAAGTCTGTTCAAATCTTTTGCCTGTTTATATTGGCTTTGAATTTTTTTTTTTTTTATTTTAATAGAGACAGGGTTTTGCTCTGTCTCCCAGGCTGAAGTGTAGTGGCACGATCGTGGTTTTGCAATTTTTATTGAATTTTGGGAGTTTAAAATTTGTAATTATTTAATATTAAACCCATTAGTGTATTTGATATATTAATACTTTACATTTAATGTACGTTTATATAATAAAACATTTCATTTTAACAGGTAACATAAATACAGTTTCCAATTTATAAGAGTTTGACTTAGTATTGTTTTTAATTTACAATGGTGGAAACACATTATGCATTCAATATATTTCTCAATTTACAATGAGGTTACAAATTGTCAACTTACGATAGTTTCAACTTAAAATGGGTTTATCAGGACATAGCCCTGTCATAAGTTGAGGAGTATCTGTATTACAATATATTTAATATATGTTGTACTTGTGGTACCAGTACATGATGCATTTTGAGTTAAAATCTTTACATGGCACAAAGATTGGATCAAAGTTGTAGCTTTTTTTTTTTCTTTGTATCTAATTGTTCCAGCATCATTTGTTGAAAGGACTATCCTTTCTTCACTTAATTGCCTTTGCTTCTTTCTTGAAAATCAGTTGTCTTTATACATATGTCTGCTTCTCAACTGTTCTGTTCCATAGAGCTACTTATCTTTTATTCCAAGACTACCCTCCCTTAACAACTTGATAACTTTTGCAGTCCGATAGAGTTAGTCCTCCAGCTTTTTCTTTTTCAGAGTTGTCCTATTTTAGGTCAGAGGTTGGCAACATTTTTTGTAAAAGACCAGATTGTAGAGATTTTAAGCTTTACATGCTGTATATAGTTTCTGTTGCATGTTCTTTTTTCTGTTACAGACCTTTTAAAATATAAAAATAGTTCTCACATTCCATTCAACCTGTACAGTTACAGGCGATGAGCCACATTTGGTCTTGATGTAGCTGTACTTTGTTGACTTACTTCCTTTCTAGGACTTCGGTATTTCCATATACAATTTAGAATCAGGTTGTCAATTTCTACCACCACCACCACACCCCCAAAGTAACTCACTAAGATTTTGATTATCATTGTGTTGAATCTGTAGATTAATTGATGTCTTCACAATATTGAGCATTTCAACCCATGAACATAATATATCTCTCCACTTATTTAGGATTTACAATTTTTTTTCTCAGCAATGTTTGTGTTTTTTGGTGTTTGGGTCTTCCTAGGCATTTTTTCTCTGACACTATTGCAGATGGTATTTTAAAGATTTCAATTTCTCTGCTAGTTCACTACTACCTGGAATACAGTTTTTGTACATATATTCATCTCGTATGCTGCAACCTTGTTAAACCTGTTCTGGAATATTTTTTATATTAACATTATACTAACCTACATAATTTTATTCTTTTTTTATTTTTTTAAATTAAAGAAATAGAGATGAGGGTCTTGCTATGTTGACCAGTCTTGAACTCCTGACCTCAAGAGATCTTCCCATCTTGGTCTCCCAAAGTGTCGGGATTACAGGCGTGAGCCACTGCACCTGGCCGCAATTTTATTCTTAAATGAAAATAGATCTTTGATATCGTCACCAGATTCATATTTGTTTTTTGTTTGTTTTCTTTTTTTTTTTGAGACGGAGTCTTGCTCTGTCACCCAGGCTGGAGTGCAGTGGCCAGATCTCGGCTCACTGCAAGCTCCGCCTCCCGGGTTCACGCCATTCTCCTGCCTCAGCCTCCCGAGTAGCTGGGACTACAGGCACCCGCCACCTCGCCCGGCTAGTTTTTTGTAATTTTTAGTAGAGACAGGGTTTCACCGTGTTAGCCAGGATGGTCTCAATCTCCTGACCTCGTGATCCGCCTGTCTCGGCCTCCCAAAGTGCTGGGATTACAGGCTTGAGCCACCACGCCCGGCCTTTTGTTTGTTTTCTTGAGATGGAGTCTTCTTGCTGTGTTGCCCAGGCTGGAGTGCAGTGGTGCAATCTTGGCTCACTGCAACTTCCACCTCCCGGGTTCAAGTGAGACTGTAGGCGCGCACCACCACACCTGGCTAAGTTTTGTGTTTGTAGCAGAGACAGGGTTTCACCGTGTTGGTCAGGTTGGTTTCAAACTCTTGGCCTCCAGTGATCCACCCAGCTCAGCCTCCCCAAGTGCTGGGATTACAGGCATGAGCCACCACATCTGGCCTGCTAATACTACACTTTTTTGATGATGGTAGCTTGCTAGTAAATCTTGAAAGCAAGTGGTGTGAGAGTTCCATCACTGACCTTAATTTTCAGAATCATTTGGGATGGTCCATGTTCTTTGTTTTTTCACATAAGTTTCTTTTTTCTTTCTTTTTTTTTTTTTTTTTGAGACAGTGTCTCGCTCTGTCTCCCAGGCTGGAGTGCAATGGCGCAATCTCAGCTCATTGCAAGCTCAGCCTCCTGAGTAGCTGGGACTACAGGCGCGTGCCACTACGCTTGGCTAATTTTGTGTGTGTGTGTGTGTTTTCAGTGGAGATGGGGTTTCACCATGTTAGCCAGGATGGTGTCGATCTCCTGACCTCATGATCCGTCCACCTTGACCTCCCAAAGTGCTGGGATTACAGGTGTGAGCCACTGCACCCGGCTTTTTCACATAAATTTTAGAGTAAACTTACTGGTTTCCATAAAAAGCCTGCTGGGATTTTTTTTTTTTAACTGAGATTCAGTTTAATCTAAAGATGAATTAGAGAATTGGCATCTTACTAATATTGGCTGTTCTGAACCATAGACACAATATCTCTGCCATGATCTGAATGTTTGCATACTGCCAAAATTTTTATTTTGAAATCCTAATCCCCAGTCCAATGATACTGGCAGGTCAGGCCTTTGGGAGACGATTAGGTTCACGAGGGTGGAGCACTAATGAATTAGATTGGTACCTTTATAAAAGATATTCCAGAGAGCTTGCTTATCTCTTCTGCCTTGTGAGGACACAGCAAGAAGTCACCATCTGTAAACCAAGAAGTGGGACCTCATCAGACACCAAATTGCCAACACCTCAGTCTTGGACTTCCCATTCTCTAGAACTGTGAGCAATACATTTCTGTTGTTTATAAGCCTATGGTATTTTGTTCTAGCATCCCAAACGGACTAAGACAATCTCCCCGTTAATTTAGGTCTTATTTCTCTCAACAGTGTTCTGTGGTTTTCTGTATTGCACCATTTTATTGATGCTATTATAAATACTAGTTTT